GTCGATCCCCCCCCCCCGCTCATAAGTAGTGATATTCATGAGTATCTCTTTTGATCTGTTTCAGTGGAAGAAGATGGTTGATAAGTTTTGTAAAGATGAGAAGAAAGCCAAAGGACAGCAGTTTGAGTGTTGTGGAAAGAAGAAGGGAGAAGAGCAGTACTCCTGTTTTGCAGCTTCTGCTCCAGATCCAGAATATAGATCCACTGATGGAGAGCTCAGCCCTTCTGCTGCTCCTCCAACCCTCGACACATTATGCCATACACATACGGCTATCCAGAGCATGTGAGACCCTCTTCATTCAAAATTGCATGTTTAACAAATAAACTCACAAGTAAGAGTGTTTTGTTTTTTTGCCAAAGCATTTATTTGATCAAAAATACAGTAAAACTACTTTAAATGCTTTCTGTTTTAATGTAATATGTATGTGCATGAACCATTGGAGAAACTCACGTGTCTCAAAATGTGTTTCATACTGTGAGAATATTCTGATTTTAGGTTCTGTTGAGTAACATATGCCATTGTTCTCTTAAAATGTTTCCATGCTGCTGTTTTTGTGCTTTTATTATCTATGTTTAGGTTGATCTATTTCCCTTCAGACAACACTGACCATGAACGCTAGTCAAAACAAGGATAGTTTAAAAACTAATCTCGGCGTGGTTAACCTTGTGCATGGCAAAACATTGTCAAGGGCAATGAAAATCCAAATATATATTTAACTAAAAGTCTGTTTTTTATTGTGCAAAGTTTTATTAACTTGATTTTTGGTTTTACCAACATGCACCAAACTGTAGGTACTGGAAAATGGAAATATTTATAAAATATTTCAAGAACTAGTAACTGAAATCTAATTTATCGCCCACAGGAAGGGTTTCCCCTTTTCTGTGGATCAAATGGTTGAACGGTGCTGCCCTCTAGTGTTACAGGAGAGACCTGCATGTATAGAGGCTGAGGTAAGGCCAAGATTGAAGTGAAGTGAGTGTGGCCAAGCTGGATTGATGCGTGATTAAATATGCTTAATAAATCGAAATGTAATTGTAAACCAGTCTCTTTTTAAGAGAGCGAATGGCTAAAAGATTAAACACAGCAAAAAGGCACATTTTCTTGATCTTATCACTGGCTCACTGTCTTTACGTTAAAATTGTCTGTATTATTTTCCTCTAGCTGGACAGGCACCTGAATGATATGTGTAAAGTGAAGGAGCTGGTGAAGCCTCATTGTTGTGCACCCAAAATCAAAAACCGTGTCAAATGTGCCACAAAGCTGCTCCTGCGCTATATCGGCAAGGCAGATAAAGACAGCAGGAGGAAGAACTGCCCTCAGCTTCTGTTGGTCTGAGTCAGACAGAATCCCTGATCTGATCTGATCTCTGAATGTGGATCCTTTTTTACAGAGCGCACACATTTCAATATATGTACACTTGAGTTGAAGCAAACCTGTACCACTTTTTGTTTGTCTTTTAAAATGCATTTTATTTGTCTTTTATGCAGTTTTGTTGCAAAATGTCTTACAGATTATCAAGAGACATTTTTCAGCATTAAAAAAAAGAAAAAAAGAACTGCTTGGACAGTTCAAAATGTTTTGTTTACACTGTTTCCCCTCTGTTCCCAAAAATATAACAAATCATATATGTATATAATATATAAATAAAAAGTCTTCTGTGATTGTATGTTGTTCTCACACAATATCATTTACATTTAAAATACTATATATATATATATATATATACACATGTACGTACACACACACACACATACATATATACACATATATATATATATATACATATATATAGTGAACACACACATTCAGACAACGATATAATAACTATAATACTATAATAGACTGTAATAAAGAAGGGGTGGTTTTCCTACATTTCAGGCATAAACAGCCTGACATAAACAGCTTTGGGAGACCAGCTTGACTAGCTTAAACCAGCTAAGACCAGCCAACAATCATAGGGTGTTTTTTTCAGCAGGGAGTTGTCTCTTTTACTGTTAAATAACATGCATTATAACATGTATTTTTTAGATTTATTATTTCAAATTTAAACAATTATTTTGTTCCCAGTGTGCAAGGACTTCAGATGTCATGCAAGCTCAACCTGTCCAAGATGTTATCTGTTCTGTGAACAGTTTTGTTATTTTTAGCACTGTACATAAAGGCTTGGCGATGTTGTTTCACAAACTAATGGGACGTTCACTAGGCAAGACTGTCGTCAGTATCTATACACATATAAAGCGCGGATATTATATCATTTGGATTATAAATTATCATTTGGATAAATTAGATGTTCGTATAAAATATCTATACAGATGTGTAGATAGTTGTTAGAAACGCTTTCTGTAGTATATAAGTTATAGTGTCAGTTAGGTCAGTGATAGTAAAGGGTGCCAGAGAGTCAGACCGAGCGGAACCGGACACTAGTCTGTCTCTCTGGTTCCGGTCAGGGATCGGGTCCAGACAGTAAACCCGAATCAAAATGGCGTCTGCCGGTCCACCCGACACGGGCTTATCCGCCCCTCCAGGTAAATTAACGTTAAACCATTATGTTTCTACAGTGATATTGAGTCGTGTGTGTTTTTTGTGTTTTAATGTTGATCTGTTGCCATGGATCCACTGTTTTTCTAGCACTGGATTGATTCAGTGTGTTTACTGGCTTCAATCAAGCCTTTTGTTCTACAACAACAAAAAACATTTAATCTATTATAGATGTTAGTTTGTAAATATAACATATATGTAATTTATTAGATATGTGTTTGTGTAATTTATTGAATTAGTTGATCTATGATGTGAAGGTTTTCCTGAAATAATCTAGATCGATGATGTGGATCTGTGGCTAACATGCTATAAGCTAACTAGCCCAGCCATATCAAACAAATAGCAGAGCTACTATTAAAATAAATAACCTACATTAACAATACAATTCAGTTAAAAATAATGTTGGTTGTTTTCTATTAAATTAGTTTGTTTTGGACTTACTGCTCATTTGAATGAGCCATTCTCTGTAAATGTCTCCCTATGTTGTCGAGTTTCAACAACTGCACAACACGCTGATTTTTTTTTTTATTACAGATTTGTTTTTAAATAAGAAATGTTAGCGTTTGGTCAAATGTATCCAAACTGCTCAGAGATCTTCAGTTTTTAAGTAAATTTGGTAACATTAAGTTTTTCATTATTGTAAATGACATGAGAAATGACATGATATATGGAATATGAACACTTTTTTCTCTAATAAGACAACGACAAAACGATATTTAAATCGTTTTAATATTTAAAACTAGCTCAATGCTAATTAAGTTAAATACTCAGGTTTAAGTTTGCGTCAGTGTGCTAGTACTTTCCACAGTCGCACCCATAGTTATTGAATAAGGTACAATTAAAAATGTAAAATGGGTTTTCTCGTTTAATGAAACAATAATTTGTGGTACACATAATAAGCCAAATTAAATGTGTATGAATAGGGATTATGTAACAGTGACATTAGACGGCATTTTATCAGGAGTTTGACCAAGAGCTAAGGAGTTCCCTCAGTTGTGTTAGAAGATGTTTAGTTTGACTTTTTGTGCTCCATGAAAGCTTGCAGGAATTTATGTAAACTGCTTTTGGAGTTTAAAGTTATTTAGTCACATGGTGCTGATTAAACCATGGCAAACATGTAATCTTAATAATTATTACACGTATTGTGTTTGAGAGTGCTAATCTATTTATTTTTAATTTAATAACTGTTTGTAACAAAACTCATGACAAGGTCATAATGCAGTCATCCCTTTGACACTTGAAACTGTTTCTGTTTGTGCATTAGCTAATTGGTTATTTAGATGTAAATGGCATTAACAGTGCTTGTCCTGCGAGTGGGTATATTCTCTTGACTCTCTGTCTGTCTTCATTGACCTCTGAGTAAAAATAACATCCCTTGGGAAATGAAGGGGAGATTGACTTCACAAGTATGAGGTGCTGAAGTCAATCAGGTGGTCATTATTTGGGTGGTTTTGTCTGTTAGCTCAGAATATCATGGTATTTTGTGTGAGTAACCCACATTAGGACATAGTTAGCAATCTATTGGAAGTATTTTTAGTGCTCTCAGAGACACGCACACTGTCTTGATGATGGCCCAGGCTGTTCTTTTGCTCTAAATATAAATGTGAAAATGGAACAAAAACCAGCTCGCTCGCCCAGATGAAATGGGACAGACTGGTGAACATCTAAACCTCAAATCCCATCTCACAGGCAGCACATCTTGCCACAATTCATGACCTCAAATGTGTGTGTTGTTTCCATGTGCATGAGGTACAAGATTTGTTCCCTACCACTCTTGAGAGAAAGTGAATCTCTTAAGCTTGGCCTAAATATAGACTAGCTCAAAAGATGAGCCATGTGTCCTCTAATAGTGGTCATTTCACTTGTTTCGTGGTTTAAGGATGTAATGCAAAACAAAGCCAGAAATTGTTAAAACAATGTGTTTTGATGAAGGAAATTATACATTTATAATTATTAGGGCTGGGTTTTGACAAATTTCACGATTCGATTCAATTCTCATTCACAAGCTTTCGATTCGATTACCGATTCGATTCAATATCGATTATTTTGGATACATATCAGGTACAGTACATGCCAGATTTTCTCAAGGGAAAAAATCTCTCAACTAATGCTGTAAAATATAGGCTACATGAGAGTCAGTTGGTACACATTACTATAGCATTGAAGGTTAAATTTGACTGATTTGTTAAAATTACACTTAATGAAGTTTTTAAAATAATTAAGTTACAATTACATAATATTTCTACTTCAATTCGTTTTTTGAAATATAAACATAATGGTGGCTGTCATAAAAACTTGATGGATTTATTCAAACACAAATTAAACATTGAAGAACAGTAAATCTTTAAAATAAAATTAAAGCAAAATGCCCCTCTCTACAGTTTATTTTTCTAGCTGACTAATGAGTTTATGGTCACGAATATGTTTTTCTGAGGTAAATGTGACGTTACATGACATTGTTTACAAGACATTATATTGACGTACATTGTGATATATTGGATGGGAAGTGCCCTTCAATGTTCCGTCCATTAACTGAAAACAGGCTAGACTAATCGATTCTTGGAATTTAAGAATCGATATCGTTCTGTAAAAATGAGAATCGATTAATATCGAGATATCTATATTTTTTACCCAGCCCTAATAATTATATTTTAATTTTGTGATATGCCGTTTTAACAGTGTGTGTTTTAATTGTTTGGTTTTGGTGTAATTCATGTGTCATTACTATGAGACAACCTAAATTTCCCTCTGAGAAACTATTCATCTGTCCGTTCGTCCATTAGGGTTGTGACGGTGAGGAAATTTTCCCACCGGTTAATCAACGTGTGACAACACAGATGATACTAGTACTGGATAAATGAAATCTGATCTGTGATGCGACTGTCATTCGGCACGCTGCATTGAGCAGCCGCGTTCAGTTTTTAATTGTAGTGTCTGTTATTTTACTGAACTAAATGATTTTTATTACTATAAAAAATCAAAACGATAGTGGGGGTCAGTGAGTGGGGCATGTGACGTAACCGGTGTTGCGGCTTAACAACAGTATCACCATCAGCACCATCCATTGCGGCAAGCCTATTGCCCATCCACTTATTCATCCGCCCGTGCACTAAACTATCCATGTACCCATTCTATCCATGTACCCATTCATCAATCCATGTATCCATCCGCCCACCCGTCCATCCTTCCAGTACTCACTCATCCATCTGTCCATCTTCCCATTCTTCCATCTTTGTACCCATCTGCCCATCCATCCAAACAGACAAACCAACACCCACTCATCCAAACAAACAAGATAAACAACCCAACAGCCTAGTGTTGTCACGGTACCAAAATTTCAGTATTCGGTACCAATAACAGTGAAAATCCACGGTTCTCGGTACCAATTTCGGTACCAAAGCAAAACACAAAAACATGCTAATTAAAAAATTTGACTATACTTGCATTTAATCCAAACTGTGTACATATTTAATTTTAAAGGGCATTTTAAACCTTCTAGAGATATATTCAGCCAAGAATAACAACTAAGTTAGCTAAAAAAGAAAAAAAAGCCCAGAACTGCTTTTCTGACTGATATGACACAAACAATGTTAACCATTTGTACATTCTCTAACATGCATATTTTAGATTCACAATTCATTTAAAAGACTCTGGTATGTAAAAATAGTAAATATCATCATGTCCTCCTGTTTTTTTACCCTAATAAAAGTTATAGGAGCATTAAATAGTTAATAAAAAGCCTCTGGTGTGTAAAAATAGTAAATATCATCATGTCCTCCTGTTTTTTTTACCATTATAAAAGTTATAGGAGCTTTAAATAGTTAATAAAGAAACTTCATTCTAATGCTCATTATATTAGCGTTAGCCGCGCTTATGCTAACGATGAACTACTCTAATAACAGCGTTCACTGCAATCCGACGTTCAAATTAAAATATTGAATAATATTCATAACCGAAGCGGTGTTTCCCCCAGACTTGCACTCTATTTGTGGCGGCATATATATGCAAATGCATTCTCTGCCAGCAGGAGGCGCTTGTAGAGCAGGAAAGAAAGAGGTTTCCACCGGTAACGGCTGTAATCAAATAAGTGTTGCGCTCACAAACTGCTCAGGCATTACAGGCAAAAAGATGCTTTAACCCCTGACTACTACAACAATTATTACAACTTTTGTTTAAAAGAATAATCACACAATACGCTATTTCTTCCATGTTTTAATTTTAATGGTAAACCCTTTGTTTGCCAAAAAATAAAGAGTTTAACTCTTTAAAATAAAGAGTTTACTGTGGGAGTACTACACTCAACCAACACCAGGGAAGGCAGTTTTTGTCAGAGCCCTTGTTATTTTTAATTTTGACATTAGTTTTAATTTTTACACCAGACATATATATCGGTTCAAAATATCGGTTATCGGTCTACTTGATCTGTAATAATCGGTATCGGCATCGGCCCTGTAAAACACATATCGGTCGACCCCTATACCGAAGTACCGGGTCTTTTGACAACACTACAACAGCCACACATCCGGATAAAGACTCACCCATCCAAACAAACAACAAAAACCCATCCAAACAAACAGCAAACACCCACCCAACCAAACAAACAGCAAACACTCATCCAAACAAACACCCATCCAAACACCCACCTATCCAGACAAGCAAAACACTCACCCATCCAAACAAACAAACAAACACCCATCCAGACAAGCAACAAACACTCACCCAGCCAAACAAACAAACAACAAACATTCACCCATCCAGACAACAAACACCTACCCAACCAAACAAACAAACAACAAGCACTCACCTATACAAACAAACACCCACCCAAACACCCATCCAGACAACAACAACAAGCACCTACCCAACCAAACAACAAACAAACAAACACTCACCTATCCAGAAAAACAACAAACACTCACCCATCCAAACAACAAACAAACACCCATCCAAACAAACAACAAACACCCACCCAAACAACCGAACACCCATCCAGACAAACAACATCCAAACAAACAGCAAACACCCACCCAACCAAACAAACAGCAAACACTCATCCAAACAAACACCCATCCAAACACCCACCTATCCAGACAAGCAAAACACTCACCCATCCAAACAAACAAACAAACACCCATCCAGACAAGCAACAAACACTCACCCAGCCAAACAAACAAACAACAAACATTCACCCATCCAGACAACAAACACCTACCCAACCAAACAAACAAACAACAAGCACTCACCTATACAAACAAACACCCACCCAAACACCCATCCAGACAACAACAACAAGCACCTACCCAACCAAACAACAAACAAACAAACACTCACCTATCCAGAAAAACAACAAACACTCACCCATCCAAACAACAAACAAACACCCATCCAAACAAACAACAAACACCCACCCAAACAACCGAACACCCATCCAGACAAACAAAAAACACTCACCCATCCAAACAAACAAACAAACACCCATCCAGACAAGCAACAAACACTCACCCAGCCAAACAAACAAACAACAAACATTCACCCATCCAGACAACAAACACCCATCTAAACAAACAACAAACACCCAAACAACAAGCACTCACCTATACAAACAAACACCTATCCAAACAAACACCTATCCCAACAAACACCCACCCAAACAACCAAACAAACACCCATCCAGACAACAAACAAACACCCATACAAACAAACAACAAACATCCACCCAAACAACCAAACACCCATCCAGACAAACAACAAACAAACAAACAAACAAACAAACACCCATTCAAACAAACAAACAAGCACCCAACCAAACAAACAACAAACAAACACCCATTCAAACAACAAACACCTTCCCATCCAAACAAACATCAAACACTCGCCCATTCAAACAAACAACAAACACCCATCCAAACAAGCAACAAATACCCACCCACCCATCCAAACAAACACCCAATCAAACAACAAACACTCACACTCACCTTCCAAACAAACCAACAAATACCCATCCAAATGAACACCCATCCAGTTTCTCAACCACTCAGAGAGATAATTTTAGCACACACTGGTCTGTGTGACAGTTTGCTGACAGTTTGGTCCCAATTAAAATAACTGTTTTACCCCTACAGATCTAAGGACTCCATTTTGGAGGCTGTTGGCCTCTCGGAGAGGTATATGCATGGCTCTGTTGTGCTGTGTGATTTAGAGACTCTGAGTACCAATTAACCAAAATGGCTTGTCTCTGACTTGCATGGTCCCGTTTGCAGTGGCGATTTAAGATTGATGACTGGGGGAAGTGAAAGCTGTAACTGTGACTCATCTGTCTGTGTAATTAATGCAGATGGGAATAGGAACTGATATTTCAGACTGATGATGAAAGGGTCCAGCAATCTGTGGGAACAAGTAAATATATCACAGTTCCTGGACATTGCGACACTAGATAAGTCTTTACATAGGCCAAGTACACGTCTTTCAGAAGTGACAACCAAATTCAAATACGGTAGTGAATCCACTAATTTATCATTTTGTGCATCTTCGGAACAAAACTCACTCTTGAAACTGCGATAATTAACAAAATGATAACTGAAATTTGTTGTGGTTAAATTTGATTGTCAGTTCACCTTTTTGCACTTAATCCTGTACACACACAGTTCAGTAATTTATGGGAGTGGCATTCGGATTCTACAACCAAATTCACTCCCAGAAAATGTATATTGGCAGAAATTCTGCAGGGTGTACAGAACTGAAATGAACGGCTAGTTGTTAATGGCGTAAAAGTGTAAGAGTTGTGGTAGAGGAGGTATGTCTCGACTCAGTGTTGCCAGATTTTGCTTTTAAAAATGGAAAATAATAACAAGCTGCGCGTTAAATATCGCATGCGATTTATCGTGCAGCCCTAAAGCCTATGATAAACTTACATCCAAACGTGTTATCTTAGAAGAAATAAACCACATACCAACATATTGCAACCTGCACCTGCCTACTTTATTATCCCCATAAAATGGAATGCTAAATGAGCTGAGCAAACAAGTCCAAAATGCCTAAGAAGCATTGCTTATAATTAGTGGACATGGCAACCCTGTTAAGAGCCCGCTTTGTAAAGCAACCTTCCAAACATAAACAAAACCTGACGGCTCTGTAGACGGTGGTATAGTTAAAATCGCAGTCTTTGGTCGCTGTAGCATTACTTTGGTCAAAAATAGCAGATACCAAACTCACGAGACTGCATTACTTTGCTTTGGTTACAATGGTGTCGATTATTGCAATTTGAAAATGTAATTTTGGGGATTCATTCCCCTATTTAAATGCAGTTATCACTTCTGAAACGGTAGTGTGAATTTGGCCATATTGTAGCTACCGGTTTATGCGTATTGGTCTGCGTCATGGTGAGATGGCAAGGTAAGCAGTTAAATGCTGTTTCTTTTGAACATTTCTCATGTTGTTCAACCTTGACTTGTGTGACAATATCACAAGTCCTTTCATATATCTTGATCTGCTCAATCTAACTTAAAATAGCCGTTGCTATTGGTTACTGCAAGAATTTTCAGTGGTTGTCTGGGAAAGCATGTAAAAATGGGTGAATTACCTTCCATGCGTTCTTTATGCAGTTACGTAAACTTATCAGCAACGGCAAATATGTCTCATATGTACCAAAGAGATGATCACGATACCACAGCAATGTTTTTCCACCCAAGATGAAAAGTGGTGCTGGTAGTCATGAGGCAAAGAGCCTGTGCTTAAAGAGTTTGACTGATATGGTAAAACAACAATTTCTAACTTTTTTTTCCTGGTGCAACCTATTTGTTGTAATCCTAATTTTGACAAATGGGTCAATAAAACAGTGCTAACTTTTTGTCTATTCTATTAATTTATGATAAGTTAATATGAGCTAATTTTAGTAAAAAATAAAAATAAAAATAATAATAAAGAGGACCCTTGGAATATTAGATAATTTGACCATTTTATGACAAGGCACGGCTTGTCGATGTTGTAAATTATCATGTGGTGCAACTCCCTGAAAAAATTATGATATTTATGAATACATATTCCATGATATTTGTAAAATGATAATAATAATAATAATAATAATAAATAAGAAAATTTTTTTATAATGTTTAAAATGTTCACTCATGTATTCAAAGTTAAAGGAAAATCACTTTTTTTTATCTAATGATTACACCACAATATTTTTTAATACTAAAGATATTACAAAGATTTTTCCAACCACATGAAACCAATATTTTTCTTAATCGTAGACACACAAATATATATATATATATATACATATGTCATTTTCCTCATGTGTTGTATGTGATATCTCAGATCTGGTGTGTGTTCACAGAGAATACAGTAACTATTTCTGTAGGTTGGATTCTAATCTTGATTGTGTGTAATAATATCAAACTCTTGGCAGGGTTGAAGTTGCTATGCCGGTGCGTCTCAGTCTGTTTGTTTTGACGACAGGCAGTGTTGTAAAACTTCTGTCTCGCCTAAAGACATGCAATCATTCTGAATCAAATGCAAAAAAATCATTGCCACAAAATATGATAATAATAAAAAAATGAATTTGAGACCTCCGGGTGTTTTTGACTGTCCTGTCCTGTGTTGTTTATTGAGTGAAGCGTCCGCAAAGCATCTGCTGTGACAGTCTGCTGAGCGTCTGGCACCCCTGGTGTCATGACAGATTTTGCCCCCTGTGACATTGTCCGGTTGTAACAACTTTACCTTTTTTATAGTGGAGAAGAGATGACTGACAAATTTTGAATGTGAGACCTGAGATGTTTTCTAGTTTTTCCCCCTCTGAAACATTTTTTTTTTTTTTTTTTCTTCTTTCTCTCTCCCTCCAACCTTAAAGGGTCCAGCGGAGTTCGAAAGATGACCATGACGGAGGTAAGACTGATCTCATGTTGGACTACCCAGTTTGTGTAATTCATAGAACTTATTTCTTAATAGCTATTTAAATTCTAAATGTGGTGACTGCAGTTTCCTTCATCATTTCGTCACTACATTTTTTTTCCCCATTAAATCATGTTACTGTTCTTTTTAGATTTACTGGCATTAATCTATTTGTGTCAGAATGACCTAACTGGAAGGGAAGCACATATTCAAAATGCATACACAATCAGAGAAGAGATCCTAACTTACACCTGATAAGTCTTCCCACTGCATAGTGGGATAGGTAATCTTAATACGCTCCATCTGTGCTGAAATGCAAGATATAATTCATTTATTAATTGGCTAATAGTCAAACTTAAATTTGATATATTAAATGAAAACATTGAAATAATTAACATTCAATGTTTTTACATTACATTTAGTCATTTAGCAGACGCTTTTATCCAAAGCGACTTACAAATGAGGACAATAGAAGCTATCAAAAGAGGGTCAACATTTTTTTAAATCAAAGTTCCTTTTTCCTGGTTCTGGAGAGCCACAGTTTTCTAAACTGTAAATGTGTAACTTCAGCTTGGCCTGCAGTTGTGATATGAGCAACCACTCAGTAAATATATGGATTTAATTCTCACAAATTTCATAATTTTCTCTGTAGAGGGTTAATTAACTCGCAGTAATAGTTTTCATTTCATCTCTAGGTAGACCTAAATGAAAGTTATGATGACTTGCCATTTACTAAGTGAGTCAGATGTCAATTATGTTGCCTTTCTGACAGATTCAGTAAATGATTTGTTAGAATAATTAATGATGATTTAAATCAGGAATCTTTTGTAGATTCATTAAAAGAACTTACTCATAATTATTTGTTCTGGAATTATACCCAATAATACACTGTTTTTGTATGCAGTCAGCGATGACAATTCAGTAGCAAGATTATATAAATATTTTAATTTTAAAGTTAGCTCTTAACATAGTCGGCTTTAGCATAAATTTGATGTTAATTCATTATGTTAATTGGTGTTTATTTTTGCCAGTTTAGTGACCATTTTATAAGTGAAAAGGCATTTGATGCCATGCTGTTTAGTAAATATAGTGATCTCTGAATGGTTAACATTTCGCTTTAGTCATGAATTTATGCACAATGTAGCACAGGCTCTTGCTTTATCGCTAAACAGATGTCAGGTTCTCACTGGTTTCTGCACTCAGGGATTCAGTGCTTCATGAAAACATTTTCACCTTCCCTTGTTTTCTCATCTCAGTTTCTGATCTGTTAGCCAAGCACTTGTAAAAATCTCAGCTCAGTGTCCACAGTTTCATCCATGTCTGAGTGTATTTTAGTTGCTGGACATTGGTAGAGGAATGTGAACACATGAGCCCTGCAGGCTGAAGTAAGCTTGACTTACTGTTTCTGTGTTGATCAAACAGTCATGTGAGAAGGATCTCGAACAGGGCAAATATTGACACAGTTAGATACACACACACACACACACACACACACACACACAAACTCGCAGGAAGAAAGCCAAGGCTGTAGTCAGAAATTCAGCGAGCGAACTTCATGCGCTCATCCCCATTTAACTCCAGTTTGTGTGTTTTTCTGTATCTGCGTGTGTCGGACCGAGCGTCTTTTGAAGTACACAGATGCTGCATGTTGCTTTGGTTAGCGCGGCAATAAACATGACATCAAAAGGATGGATCTTTCTGGAGTCTTACCTGCTTTTGCAGTGATAAGTTAATACATATTTGAAGCTTGGAATATGAAAGGATGGAAAATGTCAGTCAACCCCTCTAGCGAACCCAACACAGTGAGTCAATATGCAAAGATGCACTTTATGGATTCACTGCTCTTGTAATTACATTTAATGTTGTCATATGCACCAAAAAAAAAGTGTTAGCATTATTTCCCTGGTTATTAAGGTGAGGTTCTAATAGGAGAATATGCTAGACTTTGAGCAAATTGCCCACAATGCCTCTTAGCTTTCGATAAGCTCATTAGGAATAACAAATGTGCTCTGAAATCCAAACCCAGAATAAAGGTTTAGAAACCATATAAATGGTCTGCAAGTATTGATTTTCATAATGTCCCAATATTTTACAATAGATAAAGTAGAATTAAAATAGAATAGAAAGTGCTGGAGTTAGAGGGTCAACATTTTTTTAAATCAAAGTTCCTTTTTCCTGGTTCTGGAGAGCCACAGTTTTCTAAACTGTAAATGTGTAACTTCAGCTTGGCCTGCAGTTGTGATATGAGCAACCACTCAGTAAATATATGGATTTAATTCTCACAAATTTCATAATTTTCTCTGTAGAGGGTTAATTAACTCGCAGTAATAGTTTTCATTTCATCTCTAGGTAGACCTAAATGAAAGTTATGATGACTTGCCATTTACTAAGTGAGTCAGATGTCAATTATGTTGCCTTTCTGACAGATTCAGTAAATGATTTGTTAGAATAATTAATGATGATTTAAATCAGGAATCTTTTGTAGATTCATTAAAAGAACTTACTCATAATTATTTGTTCTGGAATTATACCCAATAATACACTGTTTTTGTATGCAGTCAGCGATGACAATTCAGTAGCAAGATTATATAAATATTTTAATTTTAAAGTTAGCTCTTAACATAGTCGGCTTTAGCATAAATTTGATGTTAATTCATTATGTTAATTGGTGTTTATTTTTGCCAGTTTAGTGACCATTTTATAAGTGAAAAGGCATTTGATGCCATGCTGTTTAGTAAATATAGTGATCTCTGAATGGTTAACATTTCGCTTTAGTCATGAATTTATGCACAATGTAGCACAGGCTCTTGCTTTATCGCTAAACAGATGTCAGGTTCTCACTGGTTTCTGCACTCAGGGATTCAGTGCTTCATGAAAACATTTTCACCTTCCCTTGTTTTCTCATCTCAGTTTCTGATCTGTTAGCCAAGCACTTGTAAAAATCTCAGCTCAGTGTCCACAGTTTCATCCATGTCTGAGTGTATTTTAGTTGCTGGACATTGGTAGAGGAATGTGAACACATGAGCCCTGCAGGCTGAAGTAAGCTTGACTTACTGTTTCTGTGTTGATCAAACAGTCATGTGAGAAGGATCTCGAACAGGGCAAATATTGACACAGTTAGATACACACACACACACACACACTCTTGCATTTGTGGTTTACGGGGACTCTCCATAGGCGTAATGGTTTTTATACTGTACAAACTGTATTTTCTATCTCCCTACACCAACCCTGCACCTAAACCTACCCCTTACAGGAAACTACTGACAATTTTTGAATTTCATAAAACACCGTTTTGTATGTTTTTTAAGCCTTTTGTTTTACGGGGACACAGGAAGTGTCCTCATAAACCATGTTTACATTGTAGTACCCATGTCATTATACACATTTGTGTCCTCATAAACCATATATACCAGCACACACACACACACACACACATACACACTCACAGCTCTCATTGTCATTTGAAGATTCACGTGTATCAAGGGAGTGAGAGGATGAACAGACGGACAGGAATGTGTGTGACTGTGTTTGACTCAAGGAAACACCTGACAAACAGAAAGTTAAACCTTGACAGAGTTGAAGCCTCTTGAATCCCCTGTATTAACATGAAACCAGATGTTTTTTATCTGTTCCCCTTTTTTCTCTGTCACTCATTTGTGTCTCTGTCTCTCTAAATAGGGGCCGGGATCATCTCAGAGTATGAAGAAAACCATTGGTCACCGAGGAGTTGACCCCACAGGAGAAACAACTTACAAAAAGGTCAGCTTGCAGTCAGATTTGTCATCTAACAGAGGAAGGGCAAGAGAAGGAAACATAAAAAAATTAGGAACCTATAAAAAAAGAGGAATAGACCAAAGGGTGGAGTTGGAAAGGAAAAAGAGATTATAATGATACATTCTGAAATGTTGATGATGATGTAAAATGAATATCACGAGGGTTTTAAGGTACTTTCTATTTGCCCATTACATTTCCTGGACAGAGAGTTTTTTTATAGAGTAGTTTTGTGATGCATCCTTATAATAAAAGCATTAATATCTATTTCTGTCTCTTATTTAAACTTTAGTAGCAAAAACTGTTTTGAAGTTGATAAGTTTGATTCCTTTTCATGGACCTACGAAATGGTCTGCTTAAATCACTGTGACTCAGTGATTCATATTGCTTTAATTTTGTTTTTTATATTCTATGAATTAGGAAATTATAATCTGTATTACATATCTGGTAAATATTGCTGCTGATTGATATGTATTGTTAAATTGATGCACACAAAAATATTAAATATTATTTTTATTTGTTGTGTTTAAGTGATAAATTGTGTGGAAAACGTGGCTTTTTTATTTTTTTGTTGCTAGAAGGACCATGTAAATATTATAGAAGTGGTACACAGGATGAAGGGCGATTATCAGGATTATCGGGCACTTGACTTGGTTTGAATCTGTGTTGTTTTACAGTTTAGTTTTTTTCCAAATGCATTATTATTTAAAATCAGGTTAGGATATATAATCCTTTTATGTAGGATTTCTTGCACATTTGAATATATATACTGTATATATATATATATATATATATGTCACTTTTTTAAGAGTGATTTTTTTAAATGTTGTATTTTGCTATGCATTTACATTTTTGTGCATAAATTAAACATAAAATATATTTTTTGCTTTTGTTGATTTAGTCTGTAAAACTGAAATGCTTTTATATTTTTTATAGGATTTTAGTTGTTGGATTAAATATTTAGAATAAACACACATTGAATATTGTTAAGAGTGGAAAATATCAAGAACTTTTTTTTTTAGCTATATCTCCTACTCACTAATAATGACACATTCCAGCATTTGTTTTACTGGAAATTACGGTTTTATTATAAATGCATTCTCTTCCCACAGCACCTACATAACAGCTCATTTGTAGGTTATTTAAAACAATCATTGTGATGCGTATCTAGTGTTTCCCGTCTGTCCTCTCTGTTTGCACTTATTTCTCACGCATTCTCTCACGTGTACTCTTTATTTGCCTGTAGACGACCTCATCCGCCCTCAAAGGTGCCATCCAGCTGGGTATCACACACACTGTGGGCAGCCTCAGTCAGAAAGCAGAGAGAGACGTTCTCATGCAGGACTTCTATGTAGTAGAGAGCATCTTCTTCCCCAGGTGTGTATGAAAACATATCTCACCTGCGAATATATTTCCCAGAAATACTCAACCATGTTCTGTAGATATATTTGAATATTTATGGACATTTAAATAGATTTAAATTGGTGTGCTGACTGTTGTTAAGTCTTTGTGTCTATAAACCGAGTGAGATGCCAACCATATCAAGAGTCTTTGGCCATTCAAACCTTCAAATTGAATAATGGGCAGCCTGCCAGGGTTTATATAAATAAATACAATTTTTAATAAAACAGAAACTCATAACCCTGTCTCTGTTTTTTCCTCCTGCAGTGAAGGAAGTAATCTGACCCCAGCGCATCACCACGGTGACTTCAGGTTTAAGACCTACGCCCCCATCGCCTTCCGATATTTCAGAGAACTCTTTGGCATTCGACCTTTAGCTGTTATAAATTCACTGTAAACCATGACTTCACGGGGCTTGTTGCTTTTATAAAACGGTTATTCCACATACGTAGCAAGGTTTCACAAAATAAAACAAAGCAAATAAAATTTAATGATATTAATAAAAACATTATTCTAATATGCGCCAAAAAAAGTAGTTTCTCAGAAAAGGTTGTGGTTGCAACAAAGTGGTTGCCGAGCAACACACAGACTCAGAAACAAAGAGGTGTATGTTTGTAGAGTAATTTACAACAGCTTTGAATGCGGCTCAATCAATCAGAATCAAGGACTGGAACTATCCGTTTTATAATAAAGCAATAAGCCCCAAGAAGCCATGGTTTACAGTGAATTTATAACAGCTAAGGGGCGTTGTTAGGTATGACGCGAAGCGGAGTGCCTAAAACCCCATTAGCTGTTATACAGTCACTGTAAACCATGGCTTCTTGGGACTTACCATGGCTTCTTGGGGTAGTTAGGTTTCACAAAATAAAACTGAGCAAATAAAGTGTAATGATATAAATAAAAACAGTATTCTTCCACCAAACAATGTAGTTCCTCAGAAACAGTTGTGGTTGCAACAAAGTGGTTGCCAAGCAACACACAAAGTAAACAAAGGTGTATGTTTGTGGAGTAATTTACAACAGCTTCGAACGCGACTCAACCAATCAGAATCAAGCACTGGAACTATCCGTTTTATAAAGACAGTTTATAAACTGGTGGTTTGAGAATAAACTCATACAATAAGTTTACTGACCCATTAAAAAGTTTATATAAAAATCGAATAAATCTTTATATAAAGATTACCTCACTTTTTTTTTTTTTTTAGATTACGGTATGATGAAATATACATTTAATAATATTTCAATATGTATTGCTGATATGGTTGAACTCAGAAAATGATGAAGGTTAAATGGATTAATCATTTTTGTGCACTCTCTCTATATATACATGTGTTTAAATGTCAGTAAGATATTTTTTTTTAAAGAAATTAATACTTTTATTCAGCAAGAACACATTAAATTGATCAAAAGTGGCAGTAAAAAAAATGCTGCTCAACACAAAAGTTAGCAGCACAACCATTTTCAACTGTGATCATAAGAAATGTTTCTTGAGCATCAAATCAGCATATTGGTATAATTTCTGAAGGATCATGTTACACGCAAGACTAGAGAAAAGTGCAAAAAATTATTTATCCATTTAACATGTGATATTATTTCTTCATTCTCCTAAGGGACTGGGACACCCCTGATGTGTTTTTTGTGGTTTCTTTCTGTCTGCAGTACTCTCTGTGTAATGATCCTTTGATCGAATTGTCCAACCCTGGAGCGAGTGGATCGATATTTTATGTGACAAGCGATGATGAGTTTATTATTAAAACAGTGCAGCACAAAGAGGCAGAGTTCCTGCAGAAGCTACTGCCCGGGTACTTCATGGTGAGTTTTACTCACTCGTGTGCATGTACTTTAGATACTTCTGTCTAGAATGAGTTCTTTTTTATCTCAATCAGAAACATAATCCATTTTAAATCAAATTTTAGCAACCATTGAGGCCCAAATTGTTATTACAGAATTTGTCTTTCTATTCTCTTCTCCTTCTCTCCTCAGAATCTGAATCAGAACAAGAGAACGCTGCTCCCGAAGTTTTACGGCTTGTATTGCGTGCAGGCGGGTGGAAAGAACATCCGTATCGTTGTAATGAATAACCTGTTGCCCCGCAGTGTGCCTATGCACCTCAAATACGACCTGAAGGGCTCCACGTGCAAGCGGCGTGCCTCCCCTAAAGAGAGAGAGAAGAGGGTCCCCACTTACAAAGATCTGGATTTCATCCAGGATATGCCCGAGGGCATCCAGCTAGAACCAGACAACTACAACGCCCTCTCCAAAACCATCCAGCGGGACTGCCTGGTGAGCATGCATGCTTGTGTTTGAGTGTTATTGCATGCTAGTTTGAAATGCAGAATCCACGATTAGTATGATGATGATTAGTGCAATGTATAGTGAATATTCACAGTATACCATTCAAATTTTTTTGGTCTATAAAGGCTGTGAATATGAATTTAAAAACCGTAACTTTTATTTAATTTAATATATTTTAAAATGCAAATTATTCCTATGATGGCTACATTTTCAACATCATTACTCCAGTCTTCAGTGTCACATGATTCTTCAGAAATCATTCTAATATGCTGATTTGCTCAAGAAACATTTCTTATTACTGTCACAGTTTAAAACTGTGTTGTACTGCTTAATATTTTTGTGGAAACTAAGGTACTTTTTTCAGGATCCTTTGATGAAAAGAAAGAACAGCATTTATTTGAAATCAAGTCTTTGTAACATTGTAAATGCCTTTACTGTCACTTTTGATCAATTTAATGTGTCCTTGCTGAATAAAAGTATTAATTTCTTTAAAAGAAAACAATCTTTCTTAATGTAAACCTTTGAACGGTAGTGTGATTTTGATGATGGCTTAAATCATACGTTTTTTATTTTTAAGATTTTATTGCACTTTTTGTTTGACCGTTAAGTATGTGAAAAACTTACTTAGACCAATTTTGTGATCTCTGTTTGTTCTTCATCCTTTTCTAATGTATTGAATAGTTTTATTAGTAACATATAAAAGTTAAATGTTGCATTTTATTACTGTGTATAGTGTAATTGGGGCATATAAATGAAAATAATCCTTTTAAACTAGATTTTGTACTATATGTTATTTTTTGAATTCGGCTGCAGTAGTTTAAACAGATGCATCCTGTGTCCTTAATTAATTAATAACCATTTAAACCATTTTGGGGCAAATTTGTACAAAAATACATATATACATATTGAATTTTGTCAAATGCAAGGTATTTTTTGCTGATCCATCTCTGTACTTGACAGCTGCTACAGAGCTTTAAGATTATGGACTACAGTATGTTGGCGGGGATCCATAATGTAGATCAGGCATGTCGTGAGCGAGCAGGGGTAGTAGAGGGCGGGGGGTCCGAGGGGGCCGTGACGCCGGACCACCGGAGGCCACAGGCTCAGAAAGCTCTCTACAGCACCGCGATGGAGTCCATACAGGGAGAGGCCAAAGGAAAAGGAGCCCTGGAAACAGAAGACCAGTTAGTCAACATCTTATTTTTTCTCCCACTTAAGTTTTTGTTTGATTTTCGATGGAACCATGCAGTTCTTCTGTATACCTATTCTGTCTGCTTTAACTTTCTAACTGTTTAATCCCTTGTATGTTTTCTTCATTTGGCTGCAGTATATGGTAGTCATATTTAACACATCCAATTTCATGTTCTGTCTGTAGATGGGGAGGAATCCCTGCACGCAACAGTAAAGGAGAGAGAATACTGATTTATATTGGGATCATCGACATATTACAGTCATACAGGTGACTACTCGCAGTCAACAGTTGAGTGTGCATGTTTACAGGTTTGTGACCATCATTAATATCTCTCCTTTTGTTCTTCCTTCAGATTTATTAAAAAAATCGAGCATTCCTGGAAGGCTTTGGTTCACGATGGGGTAAAAAGCAAACATTAGTTATTTTGCACTTATTTGCTACCATATTAGATAAATGGCATTTCTCTCATTTACGTTGTAGGACACAGTCTCTGTACATCGGCCTGGATTCTACGCTGAGCGATTCCAGCGTTTCATGTGCAACACAGTTTTTAAGAAAGCACGTAAGTTCATAAAACTTCAGCTTTTCCAGCGAGGGATAGTTCACCCAAAAATGAAAATTCAGTCATCAATTACACACTCTCATGTTGATCCAAAGACATTCGTTCATCTTCCAAACACAAATGAAGATATTTTTGAAACCTGAGAGATCGAGAGTCAGAAATTCCACCAAAACTTTCAAGCTTCAAAAGTGATCCATATCCACAATTTCAAGCTTCAGTGATCCATATCCACAATTGTTTTATATAATTAATGGATTTTTTATTCAGACATAAACGTTGATCAATGCACGTTCAAAGAGCACATCAACAACCCAAAATTAATAGTACGTGAAATAAAGCGATTGTGTCACTTTATAGGACTTACATTTATGATGTCTTTATGAACTTTTTGAACCTTAAAAGTTTTGGTGGGAGGGACAGAAATCTCTCAGGTTACATTAAAAAAAAAACTTTACTTGTGTTTTGAAGACGATCAAAAGTCTTATGGGTTTGAAACAACATGAGGGTGAGTAAATGACATTTTTCATTTTTTATTTAACCAACCTTTATGTTTTTAGTAGGGCTGTCAGTCGATTAAAATTTTTCATCTAATTAATTACATGATGTGTCGATTAATTAATCGAATTGATCACAAAATACATTTGACTGTGAAAATACCCACAAAAGATTATTTAAAGCTATTTTTGTGTTAAATGAGAAAGTATCAAGTAGCCATTACAAATTGTAGCTTTAGAAAGAAATATTTTAATTCAACACAAAATTTATTACACATAAAAATGTAAACATTTAAGTTACAACGGCCTAACACAAACTATGGAACATAAAAGAAGATCATTACCGAGAAAACATCTCAGTATTTTTTGTTCATACAATGAAAGCCATTGGTAACCAAAACAGCTTTGTTATCAACAGTCTTCAAAATACCTTCTTTTATGTTCCACAAAAGAAAGGTTTGAAACGACATGAGGGTGAGTAAATGATGACAGAATTTACAGAATTTACATTTCTTGGGTGAACTATCCCGTTAATGTTTTTATTTTTATTATTATTATGTATTTTTGGGTACATAAGGGTGGTTGATTGCGATTTCACTTTTTTAACGTTAGTTAGTGTGTAATGTTGCTGTTTGAACATAAACAATATCTGCAAAGTTACGAAGCTGAAAGTTCAATGCAAACGAAGATATCGCCTTTTGAAATTCTGGCAGTTTAATGCCTACAAAAACAGCTCGTAGGGACTACAATGAGTTACTTCCCGGGTTTGTGACATCACAAACCCAGACAAACCTTGCCTTTAATGAAATGATACTCTAAATAAGAAACTAAATCTGCCAGCAGGTGGCGGTAAATGTCTTCATTCGATTCGTTCAAATGGCTGATTCATTCAGGAATGAAGTAAATGGCTCTCTTGGAGGCTAGTGCGTTAACTGTGTTAAAATATTTTAATCACGTTATTTTTTTCATAACTAATTAATTAAGTTAACACGTTAAATTGACAGCCCTAGTTTTTAGACATTGAGCTTTTAATATTTTTGTGGTGTCATCATCCAAACCCTCTCTTCGTTCCCAGTAAAATCATCTCCCTCAAAGAAGAGTCGAAGTGGCTGTTCGAGTGTTGTGAGACGGCTTCCGATGGGAAGCTCTGCTTCTGCTCTCGGTGGACAGACAGTCGCTGACGCCAGACTGGTGTACCATACTCACCTTAACCAGACTGATGCAGAAGGAGAGAGTGGTGAGTAATGCAACCCAGACTATTTGCATCATCCCTGGTTTTGAATTTTCTTCATTCTTTAAAGGTGTAATGTGTAATATTTACATCGATCTATTGACAGAAATGCAATATAATATACATAACGATGTTTTCAGAGGTGTATAAAGACCTTACTTAATGAACCGTTATGTTTTTATTATTGAGCAATTTATATCTACATACACCGCGGGTCCCCTTACATGGAAGTCGCCACCATGTTTCTACAGTAGCCCTAAACGGACAAGCTGCTCTACAGAACGCATTTCGTCACTTTGTTGTTCTTGCGAATAAAACACTGACACAATGATGAACAAGTACATTACTATTTGCAATAACATCGATTTATTGAATAGTTAAGTAAATATAATTCCTTAATTTACTTTTGTAAAGAAATCTCATTGCTCTCTGCTGCCTTTACCGACGACATCTTAGTCCTGTATCAGCCGCCGTAGCAGGGTTGCCAGGTTTTCACAACAAAACCCGCCCAATTGCTACTATTGAACTAGCCCAAACTAGCCCAATCACATTTCGAGGGGGATCCCCCGGTAAAAATCGCATTCTGGTGGGGTAAAATACACGTTTTGGCGGGGTTCCCTTGGTAAAATTCGCATTTTAGGAGCTAAATATCTGTTATTGGGGTCGCTTAAACCCGCGGACGTGAAAAACAACCCGCAGCAACAGTGTTAAAGTAGCCCAATTCCACGGGAAAACCGCGGACTTGGCAACACTGCACCGTAGCTTCTCTAAAGGGAGGGGTGAGCGGGGGACTGAGCCGTTGGTTGCAATTCGCAACCTCACCACAAGATGCCGCTAAAATGTACACATGGCACCTTTAAACAACAGCTGGGATACTGCAATTAATCATCCTAACCTTATATAAAATTTTAAACAACAGACATCACTGTAAAACGTGAATTTATTTGATGAGTTGAGAGAGATCCATTTTTTTCAAATATGCTTGTGTATGACTTTCGTCTGTGATTCAGATGTACTGTGAATCGGCTTTTATCGTGTACTTTCTTTGGAGCATAAATCAAATCATAACTCCCTGTGTGATTGTTGTTCTCAGGCATGCAGTCGGGCAGACCAGACCTGCTTCCACAAACTGATCCTTTGGCTGGAAGCTCCAGTGAGTTTGCCGCAACAAATCGGCCCAACTCCTTACCTGGCAGCACAGGAATCACATCATCTTCACCTCCTCAAAGGTACCTCCACACATCATCTTAATCTGTCACTGTTTCTCTGTTTCTGTGTAGTTTATTGCAGTCTTTCTTTTGTTCTGTCCATGGCACGGCCTCATTAACAGGTCAGTAGGGGTGGAGGTGCACAAATCTGCAGTCGTTGAGCCTGACAACAGCGCCCCTCACAGGTAAAACTGAACACACACTTCTCATCTCACCACCTCTCATGATTAAACTGTTAAAGGGACATTCTTTTTAAAGAAATGAATACTTTTATTCAGCAAGGATGCATTAAATCGATCAGAACTTTAATTTCTATAAACGTTCTCTTTATTAAAGGCACAATATGTAAGATTTTCGTAATAAAATATCCAAAACCACTTGCACAGTGTGATATATTTCATGCAGTTGTGTACTTGCGTTATTCCAAAAGTTCCCAAGGATTTGTAAATCATATTAGAATGATTTCAGAAGGATCGTGTGACCCTGAAGACTGGAGTAATGCTGAAAATTCAGCTTTACCATCACAGGAATAAATTGCATTTTAAAATATATTAAAATGAAAAACATTTATTTTTATTGCAGTAATATGAATGTTTTTACTGTGTTTTTGATCAAATAAATCAGAGACTTCTTTCAAAAACATGAAAATCTTACCGACCCCAGAACTTTTTTAGGGTGTGTATATAATGACAAAATGTTAATATGTTCTGTCTTCTTCAGCACCGGAGCCGAATGCTTAGATGAGCAGTTAAGTAACGAAGATGCTGTTTCTCTCAAAGACATCATCCCAGAAACTGACTTTTTTTTTTTTTTTTTTTTTTTTTTCTCACAGTAAGAGCAGAGCGACGACTGATGACACAAGAGCAGAGCATTTAAACAAGAGAACCTCAAAAGAGATGAGGGGTGCTTCTGTGCGCTGGTATGATGGGTGTTTCCTCTCAATGGGAGCTTCGGAAAGAACTCCAGGTCCTCAGCACAATGAAATATGTTTTAAAAGTGAGTGAGAGACAGAAAGAATGAAGGAAAGCCACTGAGCGAGGAGTTTTAGGGGCTCTTTCTCTTGCACAGGAAATGCTGCTAAAACCAATTATAACAACAAAATTATTCGAAAAGGGATGTTAGTATCTCAGTCACACTCTTTACTGCCTTTGTTCGCTCTTAAACATTTCAAACAGAGCAAGCAGGATGCACAAACTCGTTAGTTTTCTCTTCCTAACACATTACACAGTTGGCACCACTTTATAGTATCGTTGGAGGCAATGTTGCATAAATCTTTATTAGCATAGATCTTTATTTATATAGGCCTTTAAACCTTTTGATTCTCTCTGAACTGGTGTGACTCGGACTAATGGCTGCTAGCGCTCTGGTACACTTATCTCAAAAGGCATTATGCTGTGACGGAGTGTGTGTCAGAGATAAGCAGACAACTTATATTTCTCAGTGGCTTCTGTATATACATACATGAAGGTTAATTTTGTTATGACTTTTTTTTTTGAGTAAATCTGATGAGAGCATCTCATTGGTGAGTTTTCCAGCTCTTTCTGTGTTTAAGACAGCATGCGTCCTAAGAGCGACACAAAAAAAAAGACCAAAAATGATTCCCACTTTGTAAAAATTAAATGCATTTGAATGTTACAGATAAAATAGTTTTTGTATATTCAAAATATCCCACATCCAGGCTTAGTATTTCATGGTTAGTTGCTTTACGATTGCCTTCTTTGAAGTAGATTTAGATTTTTCTCTCATTTAATTCAGATGCTTGGTTTGCCTTTGAAGTCTTTTGAATTTAGTTTTTTTCTCCACTGCCCATACTCCTCCATACTGGACCAATCAACTGTCAAGGTTGCTTGCATGCCATATTCTCTCTTTTCAATGCACATATTGCTGCCATGCCAAGGGTCCCCTAATATGTGTGTGCTGTGTTTGTGTATATAGTTCTGTAAATAATCATTCTGTGTTCCTGTACGTTTTAAACGCTACTAATGTGCTCTTGTGGCACAGCAGCTAACATATGAACGAGTAGTCTGACTGAATGATTGATGTTCCATGACGTCTTCCAATCATCTGCCTTAATGCAGCTATTGAGAGCAACGCGTTGATATAAAAACACTCATTTCTGCTGGATACAGAAATTACATGGCCTCCAAACACTTGGGCCAACATCGAAATGCTTATGAAAAATCATTTCAGATCTACCCATCACAGATGATTTTGTTACACGATTTTCGTTTTTTACTGGCCCTTTCATAAAAACCTAAGCATTTTCTATCATTATACACGATGTGGTGTTTAGACAAGACTGAAGCAATTTGAATTTAAGGAATGTAAGCTGCATTTATATTCTTCTAACTGTTTGTACTGTCGATGGATGCAAAAGGTCATTCATTGCTGATTTCCAACTGACAGGATGTAAAATCCTTTATAACCATGCAAATGATCTTTAATACAGTTGTACTTTTAGACTCGCCCTGAGATGAAATAATCTAAGTGAAGAAAAAAAAAAAAGAAGAAAGAAATGGACACTAATGGGCTTTACTAGGGCACATGTGAACACTTTAGTTTATAGAGGAGCTGGAAAGAAAACCCGAAGAGCCTTCGGCTCAATAAAAGCTCTCAATGAAGCTGCCTTTCTTTTATCGCTTCCATTTGGCTCATAACATTTAACAGAGGAAATGGGTTTTAATGGATCTATCATTTGACAGGCATTACTTACAGTTTCTCTTTGGCTGTTACTCAAACAATAGTCTGAGCTGATGTCAGGGTTGGATGCTTCTGTTACACACAGATCTGAGACTGATACCGCAGTCTTGAAGTATTTAGATGAAGGGCTGACTGTAGTCTTGAACAGTATTGTGTTGTCCCAAATAAAACAGTCGGTGAACCGCATCATGCAGGTTTGGGACCGATGTGATCTTTTGCAGAGGATTTGCTTTTGCAGACCTGAAGAAAATGCAGATAGAATATGCAAAGGAAGTACATTGTCAGTCTTTCACAAGACTGTATTGAAGAACTTTTCTATACAGCTTCACAGTGGATGCAGTATTTATGCATATTCAAGTCGTTTTTAAATGTTTGTTAAAAATGTGTACCTGTGGACAGAAGTTATAGGGTTTGGGTTAGTGGGTATTGTGAAGTAAATTTTGTTTTGTCTTGCTCTTTTGGTTTGAAGCATTTCAGCGACTTTTTCAAGTCTTTCTCAGATGTTACACATTAAATCATGTTACAGAACATTTTGATGATGCACCTTAATGCTGCACAGAACTAAAGTTTATTCTAGAAAAAATGATCTACCCCACAACAAGCTAATATCGCTAAAAACTAGATCTAAACTTACAGTTTGTAATTTGAAAGTAGATCGAGGTTTAAGGATTTGTATCAACGTCGGTTTTGGCACTGATTTTAAAATCAAATATGTGCAATTTTATATTTTCCTAGCATGTTTTCTTTTTTTGGGTCACACTGTAGGTTTTTGACACTTTCTAAACTTTAATCATTTGTGATCATTTGTGAATGTCGGAAAATACCTATATGAACATTTAACTCCAGAGAGCTACAGTACAGTATGATTAACAATGCCCTGATTAACATTTTTACCTTTTATAGTCAATTTCTATCCCCTCTCTGTTCAAAGTTATTGGGTCTATAATGTCTATAAAACCTCGCACACAGTGTTCGTATTCCTTTCACTTTCCAATGTGGTGCTTTTATCTGCTCTGTGTAAAGCCTCTTTTTAATGGACCTTTTAGATTGGAGGTTCTAAAACGTATAACTCAAAAACTGATCTTTGATCAGCTCTCAGTGGCTTCGTTTCACAGTTGGCTTGTGGGGTAGTTTTCTGGAAGCTCAGGAGTCTCTAAGCACACGGTATAAAGTTTATATAGTTTTTTTTTATTTACTCTTCACAATTTAGGCCTCACTCTCATTTCTGCTTCTGTGTGGGGGTTTTTATTATTTATTAATTTGTGTTTATGGACTCAAGACAACAACAATCACTGCTTTTCTCTGACCAACACTCAGTACTGATTATTTTTTTCTATTATTATGGATAAGAATGATGTTCCGCTCCTCTAAACCACACTAAAACATCTTAACATCTTGACTTTAACATCCCAAAAGGGAATCTTTTGGTTTGGAAATAATACAAATGTAATGAATATGAAAGTTAAATTGTGAATGCAATGTGAGCAGTCAAATAGAGACCGCTTTTTCATATGCTTTGTCCAGTGTTTGTATTAATACAGAGAAACAGAAATTTGACACATCAGTCGTGCACACCAGATTCAATGCTGGCAAAGTAGACACTAAACAGACAACCAACCTACTGCAATATGAACGTTTCTGCTATGTATTTCAGTTATTGTATTTATTAAGAAATGTCTTTCTCTCTTCTTCTTTTTTACTTTGTGGACCTGTATGGATTTTGAATTCTCTCTATGTACCGTAGATGATTGTGTGTATTATGTAATCTGGCAGAACGCCGTTTCTGTTATCTAAGTAGTATGTATTTTATTTCAGGTCAGAGGGAAGATGTTGACAATATAATCCATTTTTGTATTTTATGTGTTTAGGGTATGTCCATGATAAATATTCCTATTCGTTATAAATCTGTGAAAGCTGTTCCTCAGCTTTTCTACATGTGAATGTCTGGCGGTGTCAGAAACAATGACTGACAACCGTAAGTGCTTTGAGGTCTATATTTTTACCGGGCCTGTATAAAACTTGTATATAATATGTATATAAGTCACGGAAATGCCTTTTTTTTTTTTTTGTGCGGTGTTTGCAGCCTGTTTCTCCAACCATCTTTCAGTGATGTGGTGATGTTGTTTTTTCACATTGTCTTTCTGATTTAAAAAGAATAAAATATTTTCCAAACCATTGTTTTCCCCTATATTTGTGATTTTTTTTTCTTCCTCATTCAGAATTAAAATAAACTTACACCAGACATACACTGCAAATATAAGTGAAATAAAAACTTTTATCTGAAATGAATACAGGTTTTACAAAAGGTAGTTGAGAATCAAATAGAAAATTCGTTTTTAACCAGACATTATAAACTACGTTTCCCATAATTCCTACCGTTCTACTTTAACCAATGATCGTTCACATACGTGCTTACGTCACGTAGAGCGACAGAAAATTGTCAAGATGGTGCTTGAAAGTACCATGGTTTGGTAAGAAAAAGTACTTTATATTCTTCAAACATCAGATATAGTTTGACAAACGTGATTTATTTGAATTACGATTCAATTATGTGGGAAATTATGTTTATTGGGGGTGAGAGAAAGGTCGCGTTGAGCAGAAGGACAGTTGTGCAGTTTTCCTTAGTCATGATGGAACATTGATCCTGTAAAACAGCTTCTTTGTGTTGACATGTTATGAGAGAACACGTTAGAAAGCGTAAAGTTGCGATTGTCAGGTTGTCTGAGTTGTCATTTTATGAAATCAGTTTCTGTTTAAATCATAAATGGGTTTGGTCCAATTCCTTTGTGATAATCTAGGTTTTTGTATAAGAAACTCAAGACAGGATTTAAAATCCTTGCAGTTTGTGTACTGAAACGCTTTACTCGTGATGGCGTTCTCAACCTTTTATTAACTGACTGTTTGTTACATCTTATATTTAAATATTCAATAGAACACTTACGTGGAGAATTAGGCTTCGTACGATCATTTGCAGTTTCATATTTGGCCAGGATTGTTGAGTGGACATCACAGTGTAAGTTTATTATTTCTAGCGTGGACAACAGTGAGTATATGCGCAATGGAGACTTCTTACCTACCAGACTTCAGGCCCAGCAAGACGCTGTCAACATCATCTGTCATTCAAAAACTCGAAGT